GAAAAGTATATATAATAGTCTACACAGTATGTGAAGTATTCTACCGAAAAGATTTCATAGGCCACAGAGGGAAATTGAGTACAGGCCACGTGCAACAGAGGTACAGCTGACCAGTTTCAATTAAGGAGATGTGAATGGAGAGGTGTGTATTTGTTTGAAGGAACGCCACCAAAACTTACAATTTTTGTTTTTGCAATATTGACTTATAGTCTCCATTTGATGCAGAAGGTATGGAATGCGTTCAAAGATGAAAAATGATCAAAAGTGTAAAATGTTTCATTCATGAATCTTTACCTACCACGTTCTGGTTTTACAGTTTGTTCCGAGTACACTTCGTTTCCCTCTTAAATCAGTAGTCTGTTTTTGACAGGAAAGCCTAGTGGTCAAAGCGTTCGCTCGTCATACCGAAAACATGGGTTCGATTCCCCACATGTGGATACAATGTGTGAAGCCCATTTCTGGTGTCCCCCGCCCCATTACTGCTGCAATATTGCTAAAAGCGGCGTAAAACATAAAGCACTCACTCTCTCATTTTCATCTTGTTTGACACGGGAAAGCAAGCAGAGAGGGCGTGGTAGGGGACGTAACTCCGTTTTACCTCCCGGGTTGTAATATGGGTCTGGTTATAATTATCTCAAAGTGATATTGTATTGTGTCACGGTATATTTATGTTCTCTTATCGCACGTGCAAATTTCCTCCTAGACAGACACATGACAATGTAATTGATCGATAGATTTTCACACTTTGATATTTTGCTGTATGACATTAAATATATTTTATGGCCGTTTCTATATTATACATCACATCAACCCAAGCATGAAATACCAGCCTGTGAAAAACTACCATATAATAGTGTCTTGGTTTGTCAGCTCAGTGTTTTGTTGCCTAGAATGTGTGTTGGTTTGACAGCTCCGTGTTTTGTTGCCTAGACTGTGTCTTGGTTTGTCAGCTCAGTGTTTTGTTGCCTAGACTGTGTCTTGGTTTGTCAGCTCCGTGTTTTGTTGCCTAGAATGTGTGTTGGTTTGACAGCTCCGTGTTTTGTTGCCTAGGCTGTGTGTTGGTTTGTCAGCTCCGTGTTTTCTTGCCTAGACGTTGTCTTGGTTTGTCAGCTCCGTGTTTTGTTGCCTAGACTGTGTCTTGGTTTGTCAGCTCAATGTTTTGTGGCCTAGGCTGTGTCTTTGTTTGTCAGCTCCGTGTTTTGTGGCCTAGACTGTGTCTTGGTTTGTCAGCCCCATGTTTTGTGGCCTAGAATGTGTGTTGGTTTGTCAGCTCCTTGTTTTGTGGCCTTGACTGTGTTTTGGTTTGTCAGCTCCGTGTTTTGTGGCCTAGACTGTGTCTTGGTTTGTCAGCTCAGTGGTTTGTGGTCTAGATTGTGTCTTAGTTTGTCAGCTTCGTGTTTTGTGACCAAGACTGTGTCTTGGTTTGTCAGCCCAATGTTTTGTTGCCTAGCTTTTGTATTTGGTTTGTCAGCTCCTAGTTGTGTTGCCTAGACTTTGTCTTGGTTTGTCAGCTCCGTGTTTTGTTGCCTAGAATGTGTGTTGGTTTGTCAGCTCCGTGTTTTGTGTCCTTGACTGTGTTTTGGTTTGTCAGCTCCGTGTTTTGTCGCCTTGACTTTGTTTTGGTTTGTCAGCTCAGTGTTTTGTTGCCTAGACTGTTTCTTGGTTTGTCAGCTCAGTGTTTTGTTGCCTAGACTGTGTCTTGGTTTGTCAGCTCCGTGTTTGTGGCCTAGATTGTGTCTTGGTTTGTCAACTCAGTGTTTTGTGGCCTATACTGTGTGTTGGTTTGTCAGCACCGTGTTTTGTGGCCTAGACTGTGTCTTGGTTTGTCAGCTCCGTGTTTTGTGGCCTAGGCTGTGTGTTGGTTTGTCAACTACTAGTTTTGTTGCCTAGACTTTGTCTTGGTTTGTCAGCTCCGTGTTTTGTTGCCTTGACTGTGTCTTGGTTTGTCAGCTCCGTCTTTTGTGGCCTAGAATGTGTCTTGGTTTGACAGCTCCGTGTTTTGTTGCCTAGGCTGTGTCTTTGTTTGTCAGCTCAGTTTTGTCTTGCCTAGACGTTGTTTTGGTTTGTCAGCTCAGTGTTTTGTGGCCTAGACTGTGTCTTCGTTTGTCAACTCAGGGTTTTGTTGCCTAGACTGTGTCTTGGTTTGTCAGCTCCGTGTTTTGTTGCCTAGACTGTGTGTTGGTTTGTCAGCTCCTTGTTTTGTTGCCTAGACTGTGCCTTGGTTTGTCAGCTCAGTGTTTGTGGCCTTTATTGTGTCTTGGTTTGTCAGCTTCGTGTTTTGTTGCCTAGAATGTGTCTTGGTTTGTCAGCTTCGTGTTTTGAGAACAAGACTGTGTTTTGGTTTGTCAGCTTAGTGTTTTGTGGCCTATACTTTGTCTTGATTTTTGCCAGCTCCGTGTTTTGTGGCCTAGATTGTGTCTTTGGTTTGTCAGCTCAGTGTTTTGTTGCCTATACTGTGTGTTGGTTTGTCAGCTCCGTGATTTGTGGCCTAGATTGTGTCTTGGTTTGGCAGCTGTGTGTTTTGTGGCCAAGACTGTGTCTTGGTTTGTCAGCTCCGTGTTTGTGGCCTAGACTATGTCTTGGTTTGTCAGCTCCGTGTTTGGGGCCTAGATTGTGTCTTGGTTTGTCAGCTCAGTGTTATGTTGCCTAGACTGTGTGTTGGCTTGTTAGCTCCGTGTTTTGTTGCCTAGGCTGTGTCTTTGTTTGTCAGCTCAGTGTTTTCTTGCCTAGACGTTGTCTTGGTTTGTCAGCTCCGTGTCTTGATGCCTAGACTGTGTGTTGGTTTGTCAGCTCCGTGTTTTGTGGCCTAGACTGTGTCTTGGTTTGTCAGCTCCGTGTTTGGGCCTAGATTGTGTCTTGGTTTGTCAGCTCAGTGTTTTGTTGTCTAGACTGTGTCTTGGTTTGTCAGCTCAGTGTTTTGTTGCCTAGACTGTTTCTTGGTTTGTCAGCTTCGTGTTTTGTGGCCTAGATTGTGTCTTAGTTTGTCAGCTTCGTGTTTTGTGACCAAGACTGTGTCTTGGTTTGTCAGCCCAATGTTTTGTTGGCTAGCTTTTGTATTTGGTTTGTCAGCTCCGTGTTTTGTTGCCTAGACTTTGTTTTGGTTTGTCAGCTCAGTGTTTTGTGGCCTAGAATGTGTCTTGGTTTGTCAGCTCCGTGTTTGGGGCCTAGATTGTGTCTTGGTTTGTCAGCTCCGTGTTTTGTTACCTAGACTGTGTCTTGGTTTGTCAGCTCCGTGTTTGTGGCCTAGACTGTGTCTTGGTTTGTCAGCTTTGTGTTTTGTTGCGTAGACTGTGTATTGGTTTGTCAGCTCAGTGTTTTGTAGCCTAGACTGTGTCTTCGTTTGTCAGCTCAGTGTTTTGTGGCCTAGACTGTGTCTTGGTTTGTCAGCTCCGTGTTTTGTTGCCTAGACTGTGTGTTGGTTTGATAGCTACGTGTTTTGTTGCCTAGGCTGTGTCTTTGGTTTGTCAGCTCAGTGTTTTCTTGCCTAGACGTTGTCTTGGTTTGTCAGGTCCGTGTTTTGTGGCCTAGACTGTGTGTTGGTTTGTCAGCTCAATGTTTTGTGGCCTAGGCTGTGTCTTGGTTTTTGTCAGCTCCGTGTTTTGTGGCCTAGGCTGTGCCTTGGTTTGGCAGCACAGTTTTTGTGGCCTTGATTGTGTCTTCGTTTGGCAGCTCCGTGTTTTGTGGCCTAGATTGTGTGTTGGTTTGTCAGCTCCGTGTTTTGTTGCCTAGAGTGTGTCTTGGTTTGTCAGCCCCATGTTTTGTGGCCTATACTTTTGTCTTGGTTTTTGTCAGGTCCGTGTTTTGTGGCCTAGATTGTGTCTTTGGTTTGTCAGCTCAGTGTTTTATTGCCTAGAACGTGTCTTGGTTTGTCAACTCCGTGTTTTGTTGCCTAGACTGTGTCTTGGTTTGTCAGCTGTGTGTTTTGTGGCCTAGGCTGTGTGTTGGTTTGTCAGCTACGTGTTTTGTGGCCTAGACTGTGTGTTGGTTTGTCAGCTCCATGTTTTGTGGCCTAGACTGTGTCTTGGTTTGTCAGCTCCGTGTTTTGTGGCCTAGACTGTTTCTTGGTTTGTCAACTCAGTGTTTTGTTGCCTAGACTGTGTGTTGGTTTGTCAGCTCCGCGTTTCGTGGCCTAGATTGTGTCTTGGTTTGTCAGCTCCGTGTTTTGTTGCCTCGGCTGTGTATTGGTTTGTCAGTTCCGTGTTTTGTGGCCTAGGCTGTGTCTTGGTTTGTCAGCTCAGTGCTTTGTTGCCTAGAATGTGTCTTGGTTTGGCAGTTTTGTGTTTTGTGATCAAGACTGTGTGGTGGTTTGTCAGCTACGTGTTTTGTGGCCTAGACTGTGTCTTGGTTTGTCAACTCAGTGTTTTGTTGCCTAGATTGTGTCTTGGTTTGTCAGCTCTATGTTTTGTGGCCTAGGCTGTGTCGTGGTTTGTCAGCTCCGTGTTTGTGGCCTAGACTGTGTCTTGGTTTGTCAGCTCCGTGTGTTGTGGCCTAGACTGTGTCTTGGTTTGTCAGCTCCGTGTTTTGTGGCCTAGACTGTGTCTTGGTTTGTCAGCTCCGTGTTTTGTGGCCTAGACTGTGTGTTGGTTTGTCAGCTCCGTGTTTTGTTGCCTAGACTGTGTCTTGGTTTGTCAGCTCCGTGTTTTGATGCCTAGACTGTGTGTTGGTTTGTCAGGTCCGTGTTTTGTGGCCTAGGCTATGTCTTGGTTTGTCAGCTCAGTGTTTTGTAGCGTAGACTGTGTCTTGGTTTGTCAGCTCCGTGTTGTTGCGAGGGGTTCGCGTCTGGAATCTGCATCTATTCAGTCTTTCCTCCAGCATCATTTTGACACGCCGTGATATGAATAACAATCAGTGTTGGGCTTTGATGGGGCTGTGCTTGTATATGCTGAGAGGGTCGGGTTTGGCAAGTTATGCATGCGGCCATAATATAGGATTCTACATTTGATTGATGTAAAGCAACAAAAAGAGCATACATACACTACTGCAACCACGGACACACGATATAAGCTGTGCAGTATTTATTGACCTGAATATTCTGAATAATCATGACTTCAAGGTGAGACCACTCTCCGATGATGACATCTACGAGAAGTCCTGATAGGGCTATTAGTTTCTGCACACCAAGAAGCAGGTCGCTGTCATTCCATCTCCGGCATAGAAAATCCGTTTTCCTTCAGATCTGCACTGCCGATAAAATGCACGTTTCGCCTGGAAAGAGGCGGAGCAGCTGATTGTGGACTGGGCCATGACGTCACTCACCAAGCACCCCGCAGCCACAATGATGAGTGCAACGAAAGCAAATCCCCTCATGTTTGCCTGTTAAAAAAGTAAATATACAGAGAATTTTTTTCTTTAAATGGATCTGTTGTTTGAGTAACCATGTAACAAATATACGCATTACTAAAGTTTTACCCTCAGGAAAGAAGGTACACACCTTCTCTAAAATGAAAATACATCATGCTGTTTTTATAACAGTCTGCGCAAACCATTCAAACATATGGCAGTGACAACTCTGCTTTCCCGTAATACTAGTAACCGTAATAGAGACATCAGGTCTGTCGACTTTCATTGCACAATTTATTCTTCAGCCCAAACGCCCTGTTAGTAGGCTTTCACAGTTATGATCATTCGCGCACTTGAGTTGCCTTGGTATGAGAGGGATTAAAGGATTAAAATGTACCCGTCTTTCTTTCAACAAAGTACATGTGATAATGGCCATATAAAGAGCGTGCAGCATGCGCCCCGCGTGGTTCATCACAGATGGAACGGGCTGATTCGCCAGGTTAGCTCTGCCACATTAACCTATCTTGTACTACCAATCTTGTACTACCTATCTTGTACGACCTATCTTGTACTACCTATCTTGTACTACCTATCTTCAATAGAATCCATTTCTCAAAGTGTGTTTCTGTTATTGTTCAGTTTATTTGGTCTGTACTTTCTCTATGTGCCAGGTTATTGAATTCCCCATATTAAAATCCCAACATAGGTGTACTGAAATTCCAACCTACACACTGGGCATGATGAACTATTTATTGCTTACTGCTGTTAGTGCCAGAGGAAAACCATCAATGGAGGGAGATACCCGTGATGATCCGGGTTAGAATTGATCTTCAGTAACCCGTGCATGTCGTAAGAGGCGACTAACGGGATCGGATGGTAAGACTAACTGACTTGGTTGACAGATATCACCGTATCCCAGTTGCGTCGATCGATGTTCATGATGTTGATCACTGGATTGTCTGGTCCAGACTCGGTTATCTACAGACTATAGTTTATAGTTGTATATTGCTGAGTGCGGCTTTAAAAAACAAACAATTAATCTTGTTCAATTTTGTACTGCGTTTCTCTTCAGGGAACAAAAGAGACTGAGATGATTTTCAAAAACATCAACACCAGAGAATGACACTTTAGAATATCCAAAGATCTGAATAAAGGTTCCAGTTGCGATGATGTCCTATAACATGTATGTGCATTATTGATAGCCTAAAACGACAAAAAAGTAACTTAAAAAAGTAAGTACCCACAATTACGGATGTGTGAATACTTCAGGCAAATAACTTTGTTTAAGGTAGGGAAAAAACAGTGTCGGATTAAATAGCAACGCATCTCTCAGCCCTTCGATAAGGATTTCTGAATCATTACATTTACATGCACCAATCAGAGATTACCGTTCACTTTTTGTCGTACTGAATAGCGTTGCATTTATTTTTTCAGCATTACGCCACATCACATGCCACTACCGGCAACGCTGTTTGTGTGACGTGGACCAAATCGTCAACTCACTCGTGATACTGCCCTGCTATACATTTGACATATGGGTCTTTAGAAATGTCAACATTGGCATTTGCATGTCTGAATGGCATGAAGGGGAAGTGCAATGATACAATGAAGCTCCGATTCTAAGCATTGACTTAAAGTTGGGCTGGGCACACACAAAGAACAGACAGTGGACCCCTTGAGTTTGCATGCCGAGTGAAAGAGAAACAACATACTACTTACGCTATTACGAAGAACGCTTTTGATGTCGATCTGGTTCGAGCGTGTTTTGCTCCACGTCGAAATGCTGAAGCTTATATATGGCACGCGCTGTGGGCGTTAATCGTGACGTCATGGCGATGAGTCCCGGGGAAAAGTCGGAGATGACCGACTGGTTCTGAGGCCAACCACAACGTTTCTTCAGTTGTTGACATTTTACAAGCGCACGTCTTGTGATCTCCCGCTGTCAACGCCGCTCGGCTATACTAATGGAGCGACTAAACACATAAAATGTGCATTGAATGATGAAAGCATGAAATTTCGCACATTCATACACGAACATTTTAGTTATATGGAGGCACTCAAAATAATTTCATTTTTCGCTATTTTGGGAAGAGGGAGTTCTTATTGTTTTCTATCATTTTAAAATTATGAATTTTTTGTCTTTGCATGTAACTGCAAATAACTATATGTGTTTAGGTGAAAAAGTATAGGTATTTATTGATTGGCTATACTTAATATTTAAGGGAAAACGTTGAAAATAGTATGTCATAGTTTATGTACTTCGCATGCGCACAAGCGCAAACTTTGAGATGACACCATATCTGAACTTATTTCAGACATGTTTTTATTATATGATGACCACCTTTGGTGCTTTTATCATCAAATGCACAATTCGTATGGAAACTTGATCTTAGCCGCTCCATGGCTTAATGTACAGTACAAATTAACCGACTGGACTCGATTACTTACCGGGATAGAAAACGTGGAAGCGGCAGGACTGTTCTGTCGGGGAAAAGCTTTATTTGTTATTTTCCCTAAAGTTCAATATGTTCCTTATTAAAAGGAGGATAAGCCTGCATTTCTATTTTCCTCAAGTTTACCAAATGTCTGTTCATTAAATGGGGGAAGAGCTTGCATTCATTATTCATTCCTAAAGTACCCTATGGGTACAACCAAACCAATGTCTGCGACGTTCATCACTTCAGGATTTCCTCCCACCAGCAGACATTTGATGATGTATTAGGAGTACTGGAAAAGCGGCCTTAAATCCAACTCACTCAGTAGACATCTTCACGTTGCCTCCAGTGAAGTAACTAGGAAAATTTCTGTTGTAAGCACAGCTTAAAGTTACTGTATGCATCAGCATGGCATGAAGGCATGAAGGGGAAGTGCAATGATACAATGAAGCTCCGATTCTAAGCATTGACTTAAAGTTGGGCTGGGCACACACAAAGAACAGACAGTGGACCCCTTGAGTTTGCATGCCGAGTGAAAGAGAAACAACATACTACTTACGCTATTACGAAGAACGCTTTTGATGTCGATCTGGTTCGAGCGTGTTTTGCTCCACGTCGAAATGCTGAAGCTTATATATGGCACGCGCTGTGGGCGTTAATCGTGACGTCATGGCGATGAGTCCCGGGGAAAAGTCGGAGATGACCGACTGATTCTGAGGCCAACCACAACGTTTCTTCAGTTGTTGACATTTTACAAGCGCACGTCTTGTGATCTCCCGCTGTCAACGCCGCTCGGCTATACTAATGGAGCGACTAAACACATAAAATGTGCATTGAATGATGAAAGCATGAAATTTCGCACATTCATACACGAACATTTTAGTTATATGGAGGCACTCAAAATAATTTCATTTTTCGCTATTTTGGGAAGAGGGAGTTCTTATTGTTTTCTATCATTTTAAAATTATGAATTTTTTGTCTTTGCATGTAACTGCAAATAATTATATGTGTTTAGGTGAAAAAGTATAGGTGTTTATTGATTGGCTATACTTAATATTTAAGGGTGAAGCCCATTTCTGGTGTCCCCCGCCGTGATGTTGCTGGAATATTGCTAAAAGCGGCGTAAAACCAAACTCAGTCAGTCAGTCAGTCAGTAATATTTAAGGGAAAACGTTGAAAATAGTATGTCATAGTTTATGTACTTCGCATGCGCACAAGCGCAAACTTTGAGATGACACCATATCTGAACTTATTTCAGACATGTTTTTATTATATGATGACCACCTTTGGTGCTTTTATCATCAAATGCACAATTCGTATGGAAACTTGATCTTAGCCGCTCCATGGCTTAATGTACAGTACAAATTAACCGACTGGACTCGATTACTTTCCGGGATAGAAAACGTGGAAGCGGCAGGACTGTTCTGTCGGGGAAAAGCTTTATTTGTTATTTTCCCTAAAGTTCAATATGTTCCTTATTCAAAGGAGGATAAGCCTGCATTTCTATTTTCCTCAAGTTTACCAAATGTCTGTTCATTAAATGGGGGAAGAGCTTGCATTCATTATTCATTCCTTAAGTACCCTGTGGGCACAACCAAACCAATGTCTGCGACATTCATTACTTCAGGATTTCCTCCCACCAGCAGACATTTGATGATGTATCAGGAGTACTGGAAAAGCGGCCTTAAATCCAACTCACTCAGTAGACATCTTCACGTTGCCTCCAGGGAAGTAACTAGGAAAATTTCAGTTGTAAGCACAGCTTAAAGTTACTGTATGCATCAGCTCTACCTGAAGAGAAGTGCTATTTTGCGGTTTTTCCCTTCTGCAAAATCATCCACCACAATATCAAAGTTGACATCAAAATTGCTGTGAATATGAAGTAGTGTAAGTGCATTAAGCCGTTCCGTTACCAATGTTTGCCTGAGATACGTTTTAACACGTCTCATTGCGTTGAAGGAACGCTCGGCAGTTGCCGAAGACACTGGCATTGTCACAAGTGTGTTGAGGGCAACATTGATATTTGGATAAAGATCTTCTTTTGCGAAGCCCAGTGTTGCCAACAAACACGATGGTTTCTCCTCTGCTTGAACTACTTGCCAACGTGATTGCCATCGCCTGATTTTTACCGTTTGTTGCTCATGTGAGTTCTCTTTCAGCTCAGTGAACTGTGCGAATATTCGCCTACCCATTTCCTCGGTCATATTATGGACCGAGGTAGGTACAAAATTCTGACCTTCGAATCGGCCAGTGGGACAGATAATCCAGAAGCCTGTCCTCTATTGCTGAGTTATATGATCCAGCAAAGGACGACATCGAATGATGCTCTGACAGTGGACAGCGAACCTCCACGACTTGCCCAACGTGTTTCACAGAGTTCAGTAATCCCTCGCTTTCGCTCCATTGCTTCCTGAGCATTCTCATTTGATTCCAGTTCCTTAGTGTATTCCAAGAGACGTTTTGCCGAATACGAAAAGGCAATGCTTTGTACTGTTGACATAATAATCTTGACTGATGTTATGGAACAGCTATGAACCAAGGCCAGATTCAAACAGAGATTACCGTGAACAAAGAATGCTTCAGGATACTGACGTCTTATGATGGCTTGTACATCATTCAAATACCCACTCATGCTTGAGGCACCATCCTAACCTTGACCCTTTATAAAGCATTTCGTAACCCCACACTTGTCTAGTTCTGACAGGAATGACTCCGCTAAGGCAGCTGCCTTTGTACTGTCAGCCTCAGTGAAACCTAAATATGATTCCTTGAGTATAGTTCGACCCTGGTCGTTCAATGAAATGTGTCGAACAGGGATAGAAATTTGTTCTCTGGTTGAGGAATCTGTTGCCTCGTCAGCAATGAAAGAAAAACATTTCTGTGAATAGCAGTCATTAACCAGCTGGTTTCCAATGCGTGGTGAACAAATATCAAGAAGCTCATTTTAAATTGCTGGTGATAAATATTTGTTTCTAATTTTGCTGTTTTACAGATGACTGTTCAATAACTCATCGTGCTTTGCACGATAATGCAAAGGGGCTACAAAATTGCTTTTCTCAGCATCATGACTTCTAATAGCAATATTCTGTCTCCCGCGCAAATCGAGTGTCTCAACTAGTGTTTTGAGAATTGAACGATTTCTTTCAACGGCTTCATTGTCCGTATTAGAAAGTTGGCAACAAAAGTGATGGGAATCAGGTTTGGTATGTCACTTAATAAGTGTCCCGATATTTGCCCAATAATGAACGTACGATGTAACAAATGCGCCTTTTTGATTGTCATTTGCGAAAAGAGCACATGGTAAGCAAATGACGCAATCTTTGACGGAGAATATCTCAGCCAATCATTGTTATCAAGATGTGTTGGAGTAAATTTCCGTTTTACACCTCTAATTTCCGTTTAAGGATATCTTAGTGTTTGGTCAGCCCTTACATCTGTTGAATGTAAATGTTTCAGAAGAGTAGAACGAATTTGTTCTGATTTTTCTTCACTTTCTGTGTACAAGCCAATATCAGTACCAGAGAAACTGTAAGATAGTTTCGGTGAATCTGATGCCAGTGAAGGCTTACAAGTCGCGCCATCTTCCTCGACTGAGCACGAAGAACACTTATTGGAATTCGTGTTGGTTTAAAAAGCAGATGGAACGTCTGTTTTTGACTGCAATGTTACAAAAAAGGAATCAATTTCTTTAAAGTTCTCCCTTTTAAACGTTTTAGAAGGAGACCAAATGACTGATAATTTAATGTCATTTGTTATCTATATTAACTGTAATTTCCTTAACGTTAATTTGTTAAAATACTTGTATTTTGATGCAAATAGATTTTAACAATTTGACAATATCGCGTAAGTGTTTGGTCTGACACAAGCAAATGACGCTAATGCCACACAACTAAATATGAACATTTATTTACACTTCTATACTTCTAGTCATCGTGGGATAAAATCTGCGAAGAACAGTGCGTTCTAACGACTGTCACCAATAAAATAATGAAACATTTAACAAGAACCTCAATATATTTCTTATAAATGCTTTTATTGAATTTCAAAGTGCTACATGTTAGCTACGCCTCTGGCCTCCTTTGTACTATCCAGACTACCAAATAGGCGGCGTTATGATGTGGACGATGCTGAGATTCAGTGAGTGAGTGAGTTTAGTTTTATGCCGCACTCAGCAATATTCCAGCTATATGGCGGCGGTCTGTAAATAATTGTATCTGGTCCAGACAATCCAGTGATCAACAGCATGAGCATCGTTCTACACAATTGGGATGCGATAACATGTGTCAACCAAGTCAGCGAGCCTGACCACCCGATCCGGTTAGTCGCCTGTTATGACAAGCATGTTTTACTGAAGATCAATTCTAACCAGGATCTGATGTTATGTAAACTCCTAACCCGGATCATATGTAATG